TAATGAAGATGTGTATTAACCATTCAGTGCTAAGCGGGATGTTTCAAAAGAAAGAAAAGGTACGTATGAGTGCCTTCGATTCGTTAAGTCTGTTAATCTTCTCTGATTCTGTTTTTGTAGGAAAGTTGATTCGAATTTTATTGTTACGTCACCAGGCGTGTTAAGAGCATACACAGATGCGTAAAAGAACAAACGGGGTAGTGTAAAATGAAGACTGCGGACTGACTGTGGACCATTGATTTGAGGGTTAGAAACAATGGGACTATTGTTGTCACGTTCTTATTTGCATGGTGAAAAACAGTAGTCTGTAGGTGTTCGTTAGACTTAAAACTGAAGTGTTTACAAGACAACAAGAGTTCAAATCCTTTTGATTCTCTCACACATGGCAAATGGCTAAGCGGGATGTTTCAAAACAAAGAAAAGGTAAGTGTGCCTTCGTTAAGTCTGTTAATCTTTCCTGCTTCTGTTTTTGTACGAAAGTTGTTTCGAATTTTATCTGTACGTCACCAAGCGTGATAAAAGTATACACACATGCGTAAAATACCAACTATGTTATAGCAGGGGGTTTCTCACCTTCGCCATGTTTTTCCTTTGTCTCTGCGTGGGGGTCTTTTCTCGATAAAGACGAGTAGTATCTCGGTTTGCTTTTGCTTTTTCTTCTCATAGTTTTTAAGTCTCCTTTTTTGATAAAAAAAGCAAAGATAATAAAAACAAGAATGTAACAAAAGAAAACAACAACTCAATTTGTGAAGAAAGTATTGACGAATCGTTCACTTTATAAAAAGAAACAGATGGCAGCGGTGGGATTCGAACCCACGCCTCCGAAGAGACTGGTGCCTAAAACCAGCGCCTTAGACCACTCGGCCACGCTACCGAGTATACCTTTTCTCGCATCTAAAAATAAATTAATTTTCCCATTTTAATTTTGGCATAAAGATGCCAGGCCAAATAACAAAACTTTAATAATCATCGGCTACCGTATCTAGTCATTAGTATAGGCAGGCACAGTTAGCAGATAGCTTTAGAGAGAATAGAACATATTACGGTCGATGGAAAAGAGGTCGTGACAACGACGTTTTTCGCGACTGTTCTGCCTTTTTCTTGTTTCAGCGGCTTTTCCGGTCAGATTTTGTTTTTTCATCGGAACCATGTCCCCACAATCGTGCATAATAAAAGAAAAATCCTCTTATCAGCTGTTTATTGCTGTTTATTAGAAAAGAGAAGCTCTTCGTGTAGTGTAGGAGTTTAATGATTACTTGATAATTTTTTGTTTCGATTTAGAATACATTGGTTTTCCCATCATTAGGAAAAAATATATATAAACAAAAAACTTGCGTTTTGATGATTAGTTTGTACTGAGATTTAAAGTGAAATTTCGGGCGAGCTTCTTCCTATTGGCTAGTACAAGGAGTATCCACCCGGGGCCGTCAGACTTTTAATTTAAGGCCCGGTACAGACGCTGAACTTTTCATGAGCCTATACATTGAACTAAGTACATGAAAAGTTCGGCGTCTGAATCAATTAGCAACGCCTTTTTCAATTTAGAACGGCTCAGCTGTTCTTTTCGCTTAGCCCGGCCGGGAATTTTGCCTTTGGAGCGACTTTGGAACGGCCTTGATTCAGACGCCGAACTTTTCATGTACCGAACCTAATGCATAAATTATTATAACGTATTTTGTAAGCAGTTTAACGCAAATGAGCATTTTTGGCCTTTTGGCGTCTGAGTCAATTCAGCCGGTCCAAATAATTTGGGTCCGTCTTAATTCGAATTAGGTTCGGCTCATGAAAAGTTCGGCGTTTTAATCGGACCTAAGGGTCATGGCTTCAAGTCCCGTATCGAACGACGTCCCTTTTTTTAACTTTTCGAGGTGATTTTTGATTTGTTTTTGGCCACAAATGACTGATGTATCATGTGAAACAATCGCAGGAAAGTGCTCTATGAAGGCCGTTAACAGGTCGGTTAACTGAGTCTAATTTTTCCCACGGCAGTACGTAGCCCTTAACAAATGGCATGGAACACAGCTTCGTGAATCAAAAGGTCTATAATTAAACAAGTTTGACTTTTAATTCAGGTAGTTATTAAAATAGAATAAAATTGAACAAGAGGAAGACTTTTAAAAAGCTTTTTTTTATTCAGCGTAAAGCATTCAATGCTAAGTAGCGTGTCACTCCTCAACACAATTTGTTTTGGTGCTTTTTTTTTTTCTCGATATACACTGTCTACACTGACTTGATGCCTGAGTATAATAGAACCAAGTTTTGCTTTATGGACGGAACCTCAGAAAGTGAAGCTCCTTATGAAGAGTAGGAGTTAAGTTATTATTATTATTTAACAAAAAAGTGGATGGCAGCAGTGGGATTCGAACCCACGCCTCCGAAGAGACTGGTGCCTTAAACCAGCGCCTTAGACCACTCGGCCACGCTACCGTATGTATCTTAATCTGCTATTTAGAATGTACTTGGCTTTCCCATCATTGGGAAAAAATATGTATGTAAGCAGAAACATATACAGTGACTACCTTATATTTATCTAGTTAGTGGCATAGGCACAGTTGGCAGATGACCTTAGTGAGTATGTTATACTAGAAATACGTGTATCGCTGAACCCTGGGATTCTTGGAAAGGGGGGAAGGAAGGGGAGGAGAGGCCCATAAAATGTCAGGGATGGAAGGGGGAGAGATTTGGAGTAAATTGTATGGCTTGGGAGGGCGAGTTTCAACACTGGTTCTAATTCTAATAGGGGAGATGTAGTTAATCTCCTTTGGTTAGAGTAAATTTGAATCTAGTGCTCTGTCGTTAAAAAGGTTTTTCTGGGATTTTAATGGGCTTGGTGTTGTTAAGGAAAGGAAGCCAATGTTTCATAGGTCCCGTGTTCACCCAATTTGACCCTCCAACATGTGTAATTATAGTCAAAAGGAAATGGGTGTGATAGTGAATAACTGCGGGTAAATATGCAGCCAGCCCATGCCATCTTTAATAATAAGCGCAATAATATTTACCAAGAGCCATAAAAGGACTATTATGTCTCTTGTATTTACTTGTGAAGTGTGTCATAAGTAGCCTTAACCAGGCACTTTTTGACTGCATTTCACTCAACTTAAAAATTTCTAGACTGAAATCACACCGGTTTGAAACTTCACGGAGTCAGATTACTGAATAAATGTTCTAAATGATTTGGGGCATTTTAAATTTGGACTCGTTGAAATGCTTCTAGGGACCACTAACTTACTGCCCGGCGTCAGATAAAAGCTTTTAATCGGCCTCTGAGAACCTTACGCCGTTCTTTTTCTTTCTGCCGAAATTGTTTTGAACTACAACATATCTTCCTCGTACCCAGGTGCATCCTAACGGATTGGAAAGCCATTCGAGAGAGACTGGAGCGATTATAGGTTTCGCGCTAAGTATCATGGAAAAGGGGAAGTCTCAATTTTCTCGTTCACCCTTCCCAGCGTCCTTTGCGCCAACGCTAAACATTCCCATGGTCCATTGCGCGATACTATCGCTTGCAGTCGCGTTTTGCGTTTTCCAAACCCACCTGAGACGACTACGAACGAGGCAGACAATATATGATGTTCACTGTTCACCTATGTTTTGTTCCCGCTGTGGAATAAGACCTACTAAAGAAGGTGCTTAAGTG